GGTTTATTGGACTTTTACGTACTTTCTTTTTTGAGTTAGTGGGTGTGGAATATTGGAAAACCAATGAAAATCTGACTCCTTATTACAAAATTGGGAACGAGAAGGACAAAAAGTATCTTGTCCCTTTCTGGTAACGAGATACTGACTGAGAAGATTTCTTATTTATAATTCCTTGTAAACAACTTCAATTATTAGCACTTTATTACTGGAATGTTTATTATTAATAATAATAAAATGAGATAATAATAAAATTAATTAATTAAAATAATATTTAAAAATATATTTGAAAATTAAATAACATAATAATAAAATAAAGAGTATTCTGCCTTTTTTTAAATTTTATGGTTTAATTTTAATTACTAAATGTGTTGGCATAATATTTTATCCTTCATGGTTAGTTTTAACCTTTAGAATAGTTTATTTTATTTGCCTAAGGAAATTTCTGTACAAATAAATATATTGGTATAATTAACAATGTTAGATCTTGAGTATAGTACTGCGTTTAAACATAACATTAACAAGGTATACAGCATTATGACTAATATAATAACAGATTAGTAAATGATATTTATATCTATATATATATCTATATATATATATATATATATATATATATATATATATATATATATATATGGTTAGTTATAAACATGGAAGTTAGAAATTGGAATGCATTAAATGTCAAGACTTTAATAGGCAGATGAAGAAACAATTTTATAAAAATGATTGATCATTCAAATATATAATTTTTGAGCTTATTATGTACTTGAAATCATAAAGCCTGTATATAATTTTAAAGGTAAACTGGTTATCAATCACTTTAATATGCAATAAGTGGTGACAGGGAATGCTTATCTATGTTTAGTATGATAGATATAAGTGATTTCCTATCTATTAATATTTTTATTGTTAATTTGCCCAGTAATAATCATATTTCTTTTAATTTAGTAAGGGTTTCTTCATTCAGTTAGACCTGACATTTAGAATATAAAAAGTTCTTTTTACGAGGAAAATATTAATGACACCTTAAAGAATGAGTGTATTATTAATTTTTAATGCATTTCACCACTTATAAATCCCAGCTATGTAAAGGAAACACATTTATTTTTCTAATGAATATTTAAGTTGATAAGATTCACCGATATTTCCTAACTTCATATAATTACCAAAATTCTAAAAAGTAACTAAGAGGTTTTGCTTATTAAATATGCAATTAATAGTTGACATAATCATGAGTGCTATATGTACCTAACACAATTGTCAGCTATATAAAATGAGATTTTTCCAGGAAAAGATCAATGAAAAAAAAAAGAAGTGAAATGAAAACCAATCGCGATGTTATCGCAATATACAATATTTAATATAAAACCTAGGGCCAGAACTATGCAAGTAATGTTGTAAATAAAACCCCCTCTTTGGAGAAAGTGAAAGCGAAATAAAAAATAGGATAGAACTAAATTTGATTTGTGAAGGGAGGAGAGGGAAAATTCTCATTTCAAATGAGGAATTGATGAGTAATATACGGCTAAATGTTCTAGAGATCCTAAACATCAAGCAAGAACAAGCCTGAGCTCTTTGCTTAAATAAAGTGGTTAAAGAACTTTTCCATTCAAAGAAAAGACGAGGTCTTCAATATTGATTAGTAGCCATTAATTATTATTTTAATTAAATGTACATATTGCGAAATTAATCATAGTTAAATGAGGATATATCTTTTTGTTAAAAACTTACCTGAACTAATACCTATTTTCATATTACCTGTTTAGATAACATTACTATGTATGTTCTATGATCTAATAGTCAAAATACATGAGAAACGACATGGCAAATAATCGAATTGTATGATTAAAAATGTGGAGGGAGGGGCCTACTGAACTATTTATACTACGTTTAAACCCCATAAAATAATTACTAATTATTTTTTATATATTTAATCTACGTTATAGGTACACTGATATGTTTTATTTATATTCTACATTTATAATTTGTTTTAAAGAGACACTAGTCCAAGAATAATTTTCATTTATTTATAAAGGAAGAATCCATGAATGTTTTATAAAGAAAACCTGTTTTAGCTTCTAAGATTAACAGAGAGAAAGAACAAATTCAGAAGGAGTTGATTAACAAATAATAGAAATATCAATTTTTCATTTTTAAAACATCCTGTGAGGTATAGGTAATGTTGGTTTTTAAGTTGTTGCTTGTTTTTCAACTTCAGAATGAATTAAAAATTAAATTTGCCATTATAAGTGATTTCCTATCTATTAATTTCTTTATTCTTAATTTGCCCAGTAATAATCATATTTCTTTTAATTTAGTAAGGGTTTCTTCATTTAGTTAGACTTGACATTTAGAACATAAAAAGTTCTTTTTACGAGGAAAATATTAATGACACCTTAAAGAATGAGTGTATTATTAATTTTTAATGCATTTCACCACTTATAAATCCCAGCTATGTAAAGGAAACACATTTATTTTTCTAACGAATATTTAAGTTGATAAGATTTACCAATATTTCCTAACTTCATATAATTACCAAAATTCTAAAAAGTAACTAAGAGGTTTTGCTTATTAAATATGCAATTAATAGTTGACATAATCATGAGTGCTATATGTACCTAACGCAATTGTCAGCTATATAAAATGAGATTTTTAAATTTGTCACTCATTAATCCATATGATTAGAAATAGGAAGCTCATTAAGATATCTAATCAATTCCTTTTTATTTTTTCAATAATATTAATAAGCCTTAGCAAACTCGAAGGTTCGATGCTGATACCACGAATCAAAAAAATAAAAACCCGGTGATGGTTAGAATTACCACTTACTGAATATGGCGAGGCACATGCATCATATGTAACAATGACATTTTATATATGACAGAGATGCATAAACATGGATGTCAAAGTAGATAAAGTCCTTATTTTTAAGGAAATTCATTTTGAAGAGGAATTGAGTTTATTTTTCCAATAGTTAGAGGGCAAACTCGTGTGTTTAAACAAATTGAATATATACGTTTAAGTTTGAGTTTATGACTCAAGAATATTGAGAAATTTAAACTTCAAAGTTTTGCTTTTGCAGTAAGGCGGCACAATATCACTGCTTCTTTAGATGATTATTCAGTTTGCTTGCCAATTCCTCATGTAAACTAAATTCACCAGAGAAATATTGGTGCTTCCCAAATATTTATTGGCTTCTCCAAGATTTTCCCTTTGGCATTTCCAAGATTTTCCCTTTGGCATCTCCAACCCTCTTTACTCTAAATTTGATGGAATTGTTTAGTTAATTGAAGCTAAATCATATCTATGTCGTTTGTGATTCTGAGAGATTTGTGATATGCTCTCACATATTGAACAAAACTGTGAGAACAAAATATTTTTGGTCAGGTTATGGGACTGAGTTTTATTGAGAAATAATGCATATGCGATAATTAAATATTTATCATGAAATATACATATGACAATTCACATTTAAAATAAGTAAAGAATAAAAATAAAAATAATTTAAAAGCATTCTTTTTCCTACCATAAACTAAATTGTCTCTTCAATCATGTCTATAATTTACAATCATTAGTAAATTAAAACAAAAAAGTTGTTTATAACTAGGTTACTCATCAGGAACACACATAGAAAATTAAAAATAAGCTAAAATTGTCAAGACTACACAATAAACTATCACATCTTCTGAATTACAGATTCTAACTTAACATATACAACAACTATATTAAAAACTTTTTAGACAACAGGGAAAGATTCTGCGGTTGAGCAAACCTTTTGAAACAATACTAACCAAAATTCTTTAATAAATTGTTAATATGCCTTTGTTTATTTAATGTCAAATCTTATACAATAACATTAAAATCTTCCATTCAAGTTAAATATACTGTATTTTATTTTTCAACTCATAATCATCCCAATCTCTATGTTCTATGACTAGACTGTGACACAGAAATTTCTGCTTCACCAACAATAAAAAAAGTAGATCACCTTTAAACTATTTTCAAGAAAAAAAAAAAAAAAACATTTATGTGTTGTACTGCAGCTCATTTCTGAAATATTGTAATGAATAAAGTTTTTATTAAGATTTTATTTTCTACGGGTCTAAATCTGCATATCCTTATTATCAATTAGAATACAGTATAATCAAATTTGGTTTTATGATTGATGGAAATGTTAATTTAATCGAAGGAATCATTCCCATTGTTTTTAACATTAAGAAGATAAAGTAAAGAGCATTTCATCTTCAGAAAGTATAATGGTAGAAGAAAAACAATAAAGAGTATTATAATTAAAACTGAAACACCTTTAGTAATAAAAGAATTTTATATTTTTCAGAATAAAATAACTATTAAAAAATGACCCACAAAAAGAAGATTTTTGTCTTTATGGAAAACTAGTAGATTGCTCAAAATCATTGTTATTACTCCTATAAATTAAATCCTCTCTTTTCAGATAGTAATTAATACAAAAATATTTTTGAAAATATCCAAAATAAGGCTAAACAATTACAGATAAATAGAATGTGATGTAATTTAATAGACGTTTTGGTTATCATTAAGAAATTTTATTGTTTTATTCCATTTGGGACAAAAAAAAAGATCCCGTTTATTAATTAACAATTTATTTTTTTAAAAATACCTACGCCTGAAAATACCTGTTAAATGGAGCTCTTTTCTTTTTAATGAAGTAATTTATTGATTTTTTGTTTTTATATATTTTTGAATAGTATGTTTATTGATTTATTTAAACCTCAAATTATTATTTTTAATTCTCATTTATGTTTAATTTCTCAAAATGAAGAAACCAACTATTTTATTTCTTTTAATTTAATTGTGGCTGTATTAATTAATATTACCAATAGATTAAAAATAATAATGTATCATTTGTAATAGTGAAATGTTCATTTATTTAAAACAAAACAAAATTGAATTAAAAGTAGCATTAAGCGCTACCTCTTGACACTACATTGAACTAAACAGCTTTCACTGTCTGCCTACAGATAGCGCTGACGTGCTTAGCGGCCGTGGCTTCGGCCCAGAACAACTACGTCGAAGAGTATGACTTCGACAACGCAGCTCCACCACCTAGGCAGAGCAGGCCTCAAAGCTTCAGACCAGCACCAGCACCTTCAGCGCCCAGGGCTCCACCTGTCGCTATCCTCAAGCAGATAGACAGGTACGATGGAAGCAATCGAACTAGAGTAGAGTAAGATCAGGCGTGTAGTGAGGGAGGCTTGAGGGAATGAAGTCCCACGGCGTAATTATTTTTAACATTTATAATAATTTATTTACTTCAGAAAATCAATACCGTAAATGTCAAAATAGGATTCTGTTTAAAATCTTAAAGACAAAAAAAAAAAAAAAAAGAAAAAAGAAATTAAATCTAACCGGCAATAGACCCTCTAAGAGAAATGACATTCAGACTAGTGACAGATTCAGGAATTTTCTGAGGGGGGCGCACTCGGTGAACAGATGAATTTAATACACCAATACATGTATATATATATATATATATATATATATATATATATATATATATATATATATATATATATGAAAAGGAACGCGTATTTAATTTTTTTTTGTTTCATCTAATAGATAATTGACGTCTATGAACCTAAAACACGACATTTTTGGATAATTTCCTCCAAAAATTTAATTAAAAATAGTTTCCAAGGTATGGAAACCACTTCTAGCAACCACTTTCAGTTACAATTTTCAAATATTTCGCTAATACATCTATGGTGTGAAAATTCAGAATTTTTAAATTATTCGTTGTTGAGTACAAAGTATAAATTAAAATTAATTCTTAAATAAAATTTTTTTTTTTTCGATTCAAATAATAATAAAAGTTACGGTTGTTTTGTTATTTTTTAAAAGTTAAAATTTAAATCCTTCCGGAGGGGATGGAGGTGGGTGGACGCACGCCTTAGTACGCTAATGGTTCAGACTCCACCCTCTTAAATATTTTAACTGTAAATCTACTCATATTTGCACCCTCGTTTGGGCGTATATATATATATATATATATATATATATATATATATATATATATATATATATATATATATATATATATATATATATATGAGGCGTATGAAGCTAATGAGTTGAAAACTGCCTATTAATAGTACAATGCTTAATACTCATACATTTATTTTAAATATAAACGAATTGATCATTTCAAAAAGGGGTTAACTCTTTCTGAATAATAATCTAGTTTATTACTTATCAAAATTATAACTAGGTGAAAAAAATATTTAGATATTTGTAGAAGTTATAAGTTCTCCAAAATAAAAATCCTGAATACGCCTCTGGTTTTACGGAATGTAAAGTTAATTATAATTAAGGTTTTGAATTATGGGCTATAAGATTGTACAATTCAGGGAATAAGGTTATACACAAATCCAAAAACAATTATTACAAAAATTATCATAATGATATTGTCCGAGTTGCCTAAACTGATTATCGACTGTTATCGACAAAACTGCAAGGATAAATATTAATCCAGAGTTACAAATTATGTAAATATTTAGAAAATAAATCTGATTTCGGAGTTTTTTTTTAATAAAAAAAATACTAAAAAAGATTTAATAGAATTTTATTAATAAATATCGAATACAACATCAAAAAACTACGTGAGATCTTGTAATAATTAATTGTTTGGTTTTAAAAGTTTAAAAAGTACACAAAACAGGTTGTACCATAGTTTTTTTTTCTCACTTTTTGACAAAGTTTCATGTTGACAAAATACAGTCAGTATGATAACATATTAATCAAAGAAAATTTGAAATGTAAAGTTAAAGTTCATTCTAGAAATTTAATTCAACTTTTTTTTGTACATATGTAATCTTAGTGACAACTTTTTTATCAACTTGAAACATTTAATAAAAAAAAAAATTACAAACCGGACCAATTATAGGGTTTTCAGAGAAAGGTTCAAAGGTTAAATTATATCAAAAATTAGAAAAACGAAAATATATTATTTCTCAAAGGTGTTTTTATCGTTACACCATGCATACCACTTAATTCTTCATCAAAGCCAATGATTGATAAAACATTTTGAAGATTCCCATCTTCTGTACTACTTCTACGAAATACTTACATCCAACACCAGAAGAAGGAAAAAAGTCATGAAGAAAAGAAATATTTATTTGCTCATAATTAAAAAAATATACAATTATGATGATTTAATTTTTTACAAAACAAAAAAAAAAAATTATAATATGACCATTATAAGGAATGATAAATATTGCACTTATAATAGAGAAAAAACATTTTTAGATCAAACGAGTAATTTCTTATTTTTAATTTTGAAAAAAAAAATTAGAAACTACAGTTAGTAACTACACCTATAGACCCAGTATTATTTATTGATATAAGAAAAAAAAAATGTAACTTGTCACAAAGATTCCAAAATGACGCAGATTTTTCAATTTGAAAAATCATTCAATCGAAATAAATTAAAGTTTTGAAATGTAGGTTTCATATACAAACCATTATTTTTCACTAAACTTCAGCCGCATATGCTGCCTTGAAGTTTTAAAATAATACATTCGTTGGATGAGCTATAGAAGTAGACCTGCGAGTTTTCCTTTGGAATTCATTTATTATTTCATTCATTGGGCCATGAGAACCATTCGAGCCGATTTATATTTGGCACTCTTTTTTCAAATCACATGCTCTTTCTGTCAGAGTCAATTCATTCTTACTAACATTTCACGATCCTGTCTGTCGTCGTAGGTGAAATAAATGCCATGGAGTAAATTAATAAAGTCACGCCCAACATTACTTTCACACTAACGATTTCGGAGAGTCTTTGATGGAAGTTTTCGAAAAGTGAATAGCATTCGTGTGACGAAACAATGATATCACTGCGCCTATCGAGGGACATTAATTTGTCTTCATTTGAAGCATAATATAGGATTTTTCACGTAATGTAATATATAAAAAATTCTAATTCCCCCAAAATTTTAACAATTATTTGAAAATTTCACGTTTGATTCACTAAAAATATCCAGATGGTCCATGCTGGTACCATTTATGCTCTTCATTTATTTTAAATGTGAGAGATCCGAGCAACTGATATTTTTAGAAAGGAATTTATTTATGAAAATCTTTTGACTACAAATGAGAATGTAGCCTTGGGCGTTAAGAATGAAATAGGAAAAAGACTCAACAGCTCAGAATCTTTCCATTAGAAAAACTGGCTCACCTCGGATCTGCTTTAGTGCACTAAAACCTCTTTGTACCGTATCAACGTTTCATCAGCAGCGGCAGTGATCTTTACCAACACATATAGTGAAATAGAAGCCGATACAAATGTAGTAATTGAATATAACTATTAGCCCGAGACGAAAGATATAATATTATTGTTATGTAGTTTTATTAAATGTAAAATTGATTTTTTTAAATCTAAAAAAAAACTAGAGATCTCATATTCTAAAAAAAAAATACATCTACGTCGTCCTTGTTGAGTTTTTTTTATTTCTTGATTTATTTAAGTATTTGATATATTGCTTCCTCCTTACTGGAGATAAAGAAGCTTTACAGATAGGGAAGGATATTGAAGATAAACAAAGCTTCGTACGAGAGGGTTAAAAAAAAAGGTGCACAGAATAGAACATTCCCACTCGTTTTTTTAAATTTTATATATTTTTTTCATTTTGGACATCAAGACACAAATTTGATTCCGTGTCTATCTCTAACAGTAGATAATAGATGTATTTAGATAATAGGCTTATTTTGATGACATTTTCAGAGGTGTAGGTAGGTTAGTATTTGGAATGGTTCTGTTTCTATTTCGTCAATAAGTTAAATCCAGTATATATTTTATTACATTACATCGGCTACTTTCGCTTACAAAGTAGCCCAAAATTGAGGGGAGGGGAGATGGCAAAATCATTAAAAAACCTGCCCTAAAAAAATATTGGGCCTTTTGAGGATGTAAGTCACTCCAAACGGCTCAATACTTTTGTTAAACGAAAATCAGTAATTTATATGGAATGTTACATAGAATTTCCTGAAGATTAGAACAATAAAATTAACTACGAATAATGTAGCTTTTTTTTTGTGTAAGAAAAGATGCTGTGGTAATTATTTGAAAAACTTATTTTTATTGGATACTTTCATGCAAACGTTGTGTAAAAAATCCAACTATATCTTCTATACGTGTAGCAATTCTTTGTATCGTCTGGATATGCAACGTCAGTTTTAACTAAATTATTTCAGTCAAAAAGAAAATTAGGTATGACAAGGTGATTTGGGTATTGAAGTATTTTTGGTTTTAACGTTGTGTCTTTTTTTTTTTTTTTTTTGTACTGCCCTTCCTCGTCTATGCCTAAAGGCTATACGGGATTTTCCCGAGGCAAGAAGTAAGGGCGAGGGAAGGGGGGAGAGGGAGGAGGTAGGGAGGGGGAAGAGGGAGGAGGAGGAGAGGAGATAGGGAGGGTGAAAGGGGGGAGAAGGGTAAGGAGGGGGTGTTGGTAGGGAGGGGAGGAGGTTGGGAGGGGGAGGAAGTAGGAAGGGGGAAGTATTTACCAGAGGGGGGAGTAGTTTCTTACGTCATAAACCTTGGAGGGGCATGGGGACTCCTGCTGTTCACCCGCGTTGGCCCGCTCGGCCACCCCACTCCTCCTTTTGACATTGTAATATAGAAAACACATTCATAAGTGTATGACAGATTTTCTCGATGCCGGGAATTTTTAACTCTAGCATGACTCCTCCGCTCACTCCCTTGGAACAAGAGCAACCCGCTTATTGCATAAGCGTCGAGGAAGAAGAGAAAAGAAAAAAAATATTGATGATGAGAAAATGTGTTTAAATGTCAAAACCCTAGTCAATATTTAGCATCGTTGCAACTTTGCAATATTTAACATATTTCAATAATTATAAGATATCTGATGTTTCAAACATAAATACATCTGACGTTTCAAATCTCTTGGTCTTTAATCGAAATCGTAACATGTGCAGTTGCATAATGCCGGAAAGCACGGCAGGTAATAATAAGTGCATAATGCACCTGCTGGAAAATGAAGTGCTCCTGTTTAATTGGCTGTTTCTATTTCCGTTATTTTACTCTACTTTCTCCCTGACCATTTCACTTAATCAGTAGCGGATCTAGAAATAAATTTTGGAGAAGAGCCTCAGACCAACAATTTTGTATATATACCGAAA